AAGGGTAGCTCTTCCTAGGAATCTCTTGCTATATATCCCGGACTTCAGTCTTTAGGCTAGGTTAGTCTTTCCTAACCCCAGCAGGGTCCTTATTCAGTTATTTCTTTTTGAGTCATGAAAGAGTTTGTTCCATGACCATGCTCTTAACTTATACTTCTTATGGTGCCTAGCTTGTCCCTTTTCGATTGCCAGGGCAGCTTCTTACAGCTTGCCCTGGGTCCATCCTTGTCCCTCGCTGAGACCCTCCTTTCGGGGGTGTTAGGAAATAAGGGCAACTGAGGATTAAGTCAAGTAAATATGATAAATGCCCAGGAGTAAATATTATTAAGTCAATTAACTCCCATGTTATAAAAGCATAGCATCAACTGTCTTCCTGTGTCTATAAGAACATTGCTAAGTCATGCAAAGGACATAAAGGAAAGAGAAAAGCAATATAGAATTAGGAGTATCCGATGGAACTGGGTGTGCCTCAGGAGCACTATTTTTGGAGTAACTCAACAAACTTAAATTCCATGTGGGAGGAGCTAGGACAAACCAATGTTATTACCCAACAAACCTTCCTACCCCCATCCCCCCCTGCCTTTGTGGCAGGGAATTCCCTTTTGTTCTCTCTCTCCTTTTGGGTGCTGTGGTTTGCAAAAGAGGCATTGAGTGGCAATCATGTTCGGTCTATAGTCTACTTTCAGCATGCATCTCCCATCCTGGGAGGATCCTCCCAACACCCTTTATTTGGTGCTCCCTTCTCTACCTGAGCTGCCTTTTCCCCTAGCATGTGCAGCTGGCCTCCAAGCCATGGAGTAAACCTCCTGGTACTTATCTCGGCTATTCTTGGGTGTTAGTCTCCTATTTTGTTATTTTATGTTCCCCAGATGAATGCAATCTCTCTATATCTGTCCCTCTCTTTCTGACTCATTTGAAACTCCACATTTCAAGAGGAGAGATGTAGCATGTGTTCCTCCTACAACATGATTCTGTTGTAGAAATTCTCACCAAGAATCAGTGAAAATCCTAGCAATATGCACTGAATGTTGGGAGAATTTGGGTTTTTATGCCAGTTGACCCAGCAGAGCTCATATTTGAAAGACTGGGCCCCAAACAAAGGTAAGAGCTCTGTTTTACATAATACCTGGTGGGTATAAGGCATTTTCAGGTAGTTTGTGGGAGAGTTCAGAAGCAGAAATTCTCAAACATGTCACCTGCAAAGCCAAGGTAAGACCATCTCAAGGACATGAGCACATTTAGAGTACATTTCCAGGTTACCAAGGTTACAAAATGAAGCTTTGGACATCTCAAATGAACTCTATGGATATGTTATGTTGCTCAGACTCAACTGCTCCTTGGCAACTCCTGCTCTCTGGTCTCTCTGAAATGTGGACTGGTGGAGCCAGAGCAATAATACAACAGGTATTCGTATAACATTTGCCTTGGCTGCTGCTGATCCAGATGTGACCCCTGGCACCCCTATATGGTCCCCTAAGCACTGCCAGGAGTAAATCCTGAGTGCAGAGCCAGGGGTAACCTTTGAGCATTACTGGGTATACTCACCCCCCAAAAAAAAGTAAAAAATGTGGGATATGATCTCTTTTCTCATCAATTATATGTGTGTGGCAGGTATAACAGCTCCTCCTATTCTTTGTATATGTTGGATGTATTGCTTCTCCGATTCTGTGTGTATGTGCAGGAGTGAAATGCTCCCAATTTGTGTCTCTGAGGTGAAATTTTTTTTTGATTCTGTGTGTTAGAAGTGAAAGGCTCATTTAGTTCTGGGGGGTGGATGTTAATTGCTCTTCAGGTTTAGGTAACTGTGGGGCAAAGTGATATCTAATTTTTCTGTGTGTCACTCAAAGAATAGCAGTTAATTCAACAAGCTGAGTTTTTTTTTCTTTTTGGGTCATATCTGGCGATGCTTATGGGTTAATCCTAGTTCTGCACTCAGGAACTACACCTGGCATTGCCCAGGGGACCATATGGAATGCTAGGGTCGACCATGTGCAAGGCAATGTTCTACCTGCTATACTATCATTCTGGCCCTAACCTAGGTTATCTGTAAGAAAACAACAAAAAGATATACTGCATTAACCATGATACACTTCCTGAATTCAAGGGTACATACTTGTGACAAATCCTCTGATTGGAGGAGTGGGTAAACATCACCTGTCCTAGAAGGTGGAGGCTTCCGGACCCCATAGTTTGTTGGTGAGTGGTACTTTAGTTTTCCATCTATATGGGAACAGTGTGTGCCCCATTGCTTTATGTGTGATGTATGTCTACTTATGTGTATTGTTAAATGATTGTATATTCAATCACAAAGGTCTAGAGTTGGGTCTATTTAGCAGCAACAAGCTAACCTGGTAGAGTCTCACAAGTCTCTGTGTGCTGGGCCAGTACTAAAGAGCTCCTCAATGTTTCTGAGATTCAGCCTCCCAGGGATGCACATGGATTTGCCATAGGATGTGTCTCAAAAAGAAAAGCTTGGTATTAGGAAATATTTACACAGAACTATAAGACACCTTCCATCTTGCTTTCCAAGGAGAGGAACCTTTTCATTCAGGAACCCAGGGGCAGTCCTGGTGGTGTGGATACAGTGACGTGGGCCAAGAGCCAGGTCGTCTGGCCCAGACCATTAGGTCCACCCTGGCAGTGGTCAGGACATATCATGGATCTGATGGAGCCCAGGACTCCCACAGCAAAGTCTGCACTCTGGCCTTTGGGCTCTCCCAGTCTTTTGTGTGTGTGTGGAACCTGGGCTCAAACCCAGAACCTCACACACGTCTGGTGTGGTGCCACATTCTTCTTTTTTTGCTTTTGTTTTATTTTGGTTTTTGGCTACACCTGGCAGTGCTCAGGGATTACTCCTAGCTCTACACTTAGGAATTACTTCTGCTGGTGCTCAGGGGACCATATGGGGTACCAAATATCGAACTCAAGTTGGCTGCATGCAAGGCAAGCACCTTACACACTGTACTATCTCTCTGGCACTCTTGATAGCTCATTTCTTTTTAACACTGAATAATATTCCATTGCTTGGGTAGACCAGTTTCTTTATCCATTCACCTGCTGAAGATCATTTTAGTTGCTTCCAGGTATTGGCAATAAAAATGGAACAAACATTTATGTGCAATTTTTGTTGTGAGCGTAAGTTTCCAACTCATTTAGTAAACAATAAGGAGCACAATTGCAATTGTTGGATCATATCGTTGCACTGGATGGAATAACTCCAGGTTAACAGTGTGCAAAGCAAGTACCCTACCCACTGTACTATCTCTCTGGCCCCTATTTTCTATAGTTTTACACTTAGGTCTACACTTTTTAGTTGATTGCATAGTGATGTCTAGCTACATGAGTTTTTGTTTTGTTTTGTTTTGTTTTGCAAGTGGCTGTCCTGTTGTCCCAGCACCACTGATTGAAAACACTGTGCTTTCTGGGGGCCAGAGAGATAGTATAGCAGGTAGGGTGCTTGCCTTGCACATGTGGGTTCAATCTCAGGGATCCCGAAGAAGCACTCCAGGTGCAACTAGATTGCCAAGAATGACATGAGTTAACGACTGTCCCCGTCATGTAAGAAATTTGGGGAAAAGCTAAGGGGGAACATTAGTTCCTAGAGAATCAGCATATGATCAGGACTCTCAGTACCATCCTCAGACCTGGGGAGGGGAAAAGGCTAGAAGGTGCCTTCGCTTGCTAGTGGCCAGTGAATTGAGTCATGCCAGGTAAAGTCATGCCACCTCCTCCCAGGCCCTCCTGGATTTGGAATTTCTCTCCAAAGCCAGGACAGACTTTCTCTTGATACCTTGATCATCTCGTCTATGTCCAGACACCACTGGATCGAACACATCCACAATACTTTCCTATCTTCTCCTTGTGTTCATTACTCCGTTGCTCCAGGCCTCAAGTCTCCTAATGAACGACTGACACCACACTGTCTTTGCCTCTGCAGTTTTCTTTGTTAGTGCCATTTGTGTTCCTTGGAGAACGTGGAAGTCGCCGTCCCGGATTATAGTTCCAGGACTTGAGCCTGCGTAAAGGTGGGACCGGGAACTGCAGTTGGCAGCTCTGTACCGGGCTGCCTGGGAATCTAGCAGGCAGAGTCCCTGTGTGACCCCGGCGACCAGGCTTCTTGCCTGGTGCATCGAGTGCTGGCTCCTACGAAGGACAGAAATGCCAGAACGAAGCCGCTTTCTTCAGAGAGAAGCCAGGTGCGGGACTCGGCGGCGGCAGCTGCAGTGGCCGCCGGCCACCCAGTGCCCTCGGAAACCCCGCTTCGAGTCCAGGCACCGCCTCCTTCAGACCCGGGAGCCGCTCCTCAAGCTCCCGCCCCGGTCCAGCCCGCGTCCAGTCTCACCTCAGACCCCACTCTCAGACCCCGCCTCCTCCGCGGCCGCCCCTCGTTCAGTCTCACCTCAGACCCGCCTCCTCGGGACCCTCCCCTGGAGCCCCCGGCCGCGTCCAGACGCGGACCCACTCACCTCAGACCCCACTCTCAGACCCCGCCTCCTCCGCGGCCGCCCCTCGTTCAGTCTCACCTCAGACCCGCCTCCTCTGGAACCTTCCTTCGAGCCCCGCCCCCGTTGAGACGCGCGTCCACCCTCACCTCAGACCCGCCCTTCAGCGACCTCGACGGGTGGGCCCCACACCGAACCCCACCTACTTCAGGTCCGGGCAGCGCCAGGAAGCGCCCCCTTCCGGCCCGGCCCCGCCCCCTCAGGCCCCGCCTCCCCGACCTCTGGTGGGGCGCGGAGCAGCGAGGACGAGCGTCTTAGAGCTCCCGGCCGCAGCCTCCCTGTGGCCACGCCCTCCTCAGTCCCCGCGCCGCGGCGCCTGCGCGATCCCGCGGGCTCGGCCCCGCCCTTTCCCCGCCCCCTCGGCCCCGCCCCGCCCGGGCTGAGGGTGGGAGCGGAGCCCCGCAACGCGCATGCTCCCGGCGCGGCGCCCCCGATCCGGCGCTCGGCTCGGTTCGGGCATTTCCGCCTCTTTGTTTTAAACTCCGGACGGGCTTTTTCCTCCGGCTCCGGGGGGGACCCGGAGGGAGCGGCGCCCCCTCCCCCCGCCGGCGCGGCCCCCGCGTGCGCCCAGCTCGCCCGCAGCCCAGACGGCAGGTCAGTCAGTCCGCGCCCCGCCCGCCCGCTCGGCCCGCGGCGCCTGGCTCTCGTCAGGCCGCGGCCTCGGCCCGACCCGGGCCCGCAGGCTCGGAACACGGCCCGCGCCCTCGCCGGGCTGGACTCTGGGGCCTGACCTGGGACGGCTGGCGGGGAGGGACCCGAGCCCAGCGCGGGGTCGGGCCCGGGACGGGGGCGGAGGGCCCGGGATGGCCAAGACCCCCTGACGGGGACGGTCAGGACCCCCCGACGGGGCAGAGGGGCCGGGACGGGGACGGTCCGGACCCCCAGACGGGGACGGCCGGGACCCCCTATCGGGGCGGAGGGACCGGGACAGGGGCGTTCGGGACCCCCTGTCGGGGACGGCGGGACCTGGAGGGCCGGGACCCCCAGACGGGGTCGGAAGAACAGAGCAGTAGACCACCCGGAGCGGCTGGGTGTAGGGAGTGAGTGCCTAAGGAAGTGGAGGCAGCCCCCTCCTCCGACCCGGAGGGCCTGGAGCTGCTGGGCCTTGGGGCAGAACTGGGTGGTGGGGAGACCTCAGTAGTGCCTGCCTGTGGGATTTGCAGGAAGTTTGCCTGGAACTGGCCAGGACGCCAGAGCAAGGACCAGGCACCGGGCACCAAGCGCCATCCGGGCCCACAGAGCCGAAGAGGGATCTAGGACCCCAAGTTAGGCCCCCAGAGGTGGTCCCTGGACAGGACCTAGGGAGTACTCAAACCCATTCCAGCTCAGCTGAGCCCCGGCGAAGTTTCTCTGGGCCTGGCATCCCCACAGATTGCCTGGGCTGGCCCCAGAGGCCTGCAACCCTTTCGCAGATGCCACCTGGGGGAGGCGGGTGGTTCTCTATTCCCCCTGGGTGCTCGCAGGCCAGCAGTAGAAAGCTGTTCCCTGCCTGTCCTGTCAGCCTCCCACTGCCCCTCTGCTGCACCGTGGACCCTGAGTTCTGGCTATGATGAGCTCGCAGAGGTGGACAGGTGGGAGTGAGGGCCGCTGACCCAGAGTTGGACAGGTGGGGATGCGGGCTGCTGACCTGCAGTTGGACAGGTGGGGTTGTGGGCCGCTGACTCAGAGTTGGACAGATGAGGTTGCAGACCACTGTCCTGAGGAGGCCCTGCCTCGGCTTGAACAAAGCTTGGGGCCCAGTTTGGGAGTGGGGGCCTCCTCTGGGAAGGAAAACCTTAGGCCTAGTTGTGGTTCCCCCTCCGTGAAAGAGAACCTCAGATTAGGTGGGGTAGGGCGTTAAACCTCAACCCAATGCAAGCCCTTAGGTCTGGGCGGGGTCTCCTCAAAGAAAGCCTCAGGCTGTCTGCCTCAGTTTCTTTCTCCCTTCTTTGGATAGGGTGTGGTGTGGACCTCTCTGGGCTGGGAGGAGCCCCATCTTGGGTCACCCTGAGATAATGGGGTTATTTAAGAGAATGGACACTGTGGGGAGGTGCTCTGGCCAGTTGGCTCCTTGTGAACTGCTTAAGGTCAGAGAAGGGTCCAGGAGGCCTGTGAAAGTCAGATCCTGCAAACATGGGGCGCGGCTGCCCTCCCTGCTTATGTCCCTACATGACCCTCTTTAGACTTCTGGGAGACCATAGGGAGTGCCTAGGATCCAACCAGGTTGGCCATGTGCAAGGCAAACATCCTACCAGTGTACTGTCACTGTGTTCCCCCTTCTGGTTCTTTTGAGTTTGTGTGTGTGGTGATACTGTGTGTGGTATGCAAGACAAGTGCCGTACTGCTGAGCCCCCTCCCCCAGCCTCATACACTTTACTTTCTGAAGAACCTTATCTGCTTATGAGTTGGAGAAAAAAAAACTGGTAAAATTGGCATTCAGGTTTGGTGAGGGCCTTTATTATGTCTTTTTGGGATTTTATTTTAGAGGTGAGCCTATGCTGGGCGGTTATATTTATTGTTGTCCAACAGATAATTTTAATGCTTAGGTACCATCACTTTGTCTTTGGGCTTCTGTGTGTGGGAATCAAGGCACTCAGCTTCAGGGTCAGTGGTCAGGTCAGGGTCAGAGATGGAGTGCCTGTGAGGGTCTTAGTTGGTTTCATGCTCTTAGCTGACATCATGTCTGAGTGCTGCTTGTGATCTTGTCCACCTGGCATGGCAGGACATTTTCTTCACATGTGAGTCAGAGGGAGAGCCATTGACACACTTGGAGCTGGTTAGAAGCAGGCCACCATCTTTGCGAGTCTTGATAGTGGTATCCTGTCCCCTTTGTCCTGCTTATGCTTGATGGGGTTAAAATGCTTCAGAGAGTGCATGGTGGGTGAGGGTCTCTGTACTATCGGATATCCTTGCATCAACTGGGTGTCAGCTAATACAGGGCCTGAATCTGAGAAGTGATCGTAAGTAAACTGCAGAATTCCGTAGCATGTGTTAAAATACTTCAGTTGTCTCAGTTGTACATGCTTGTCAGATGTTCATACATTGACTGACATGAGGGAAGATGAACTGGATAGGAAATGCCTTGGTTTTCCCTTATTTTAGAGCATACTGTGACCACTTCCCCATCTTTTATTAATATATGAAGTATCATGCTCATCTAGCCAGAGATTTGCTCCAAAACTATGCATTGGACATTGAAAGAAGTTTCTGAGATGTGGATTTGAAACATTTTGGTTTGGCCCTGATGTGGAAGTGATGCTTCAGGACCGGTGTGTGAGCCTCTCCTCCAGGACCTGTGCTCCCACCCACAGGGTGACAATGACCTCCGGAATCCCACAGAAGGGTACCTTCTCATTACTGGCTCCAAGATACCTACTTCTTACTTAATGCTTTGCTGAATCTGAAGTCCACTGATGAATCTGTGCTCACTCTCAAAAACTGAAATCGTGTATGGTGTGGCTACAGTTCCCTGGGACTTGGGGCTTTGTCTGACCTCATTTGCTACTGTAGACTCTACCATGGGTATGGCACTAGAGTTCCCCTGGATGTTGACTGGGACAGTGGCCAGTGTTCAGCTCCTGGTTGCCTTGGGGTTGCAGACAGCCGCCAGCAGAGAAAACTGCTTTGAGAGACCTTGCAGTTGATCGGGTCATGGCTACTTGCCTTCTTTTATTTACTTATTTATTGATTTATTTATTTATTTGCTTTTTGGGTCACACCTGGCCATGCACAGGGGTTACTCCTGGCTCTGCACTCAGGAATTACTCCTGGCGGTGCTCAGGGGACCATATGGGATGCTGGGAATCGAACCCGGGTCGGCCACATGCAAGGCAAATGCCTTACCTACTGTGCTGTTGCTCCAGCCCCTACTTGCCTTCTTTTAAAATCATTTGATTGAGACTGCTTTCTCTCGGCAGCACCAGGGTTAGCAAAGGGGAGCCCTGCACACCCTGGAATCTCAGGGCATCTCAGGAGCCACCTACCACAGACTGCCTGTCTCTCAGATCTGCCTTCTCAGAGCAGGACACCCCAGCTGCCCCTCCCACAGCCCCTTGGGGCAGCCCCTGGGCTTCTGTGACCTGATAGAGAAGTCCAGCACACAGGACAGATGTGAATGGCAAGCATGTTCCTGATCAGATAGAGGTGCCTACTAACAAAATGTGTAGGCCTAGTAGGGCCAGTGCCCTGGCCTCTGCTCTGGCATCTCATCTCCCCCCCTCCCTTATTTTTTTATTTGCTTTGGGGCCGCACCCAGCTGTGTGCTGATCTTAAAACTACCTCTGCACTCAGGGATCACTCCTGGCAGTGCTCCAGGGATCATATGGGATGCTAGGGATCCAGGTTGGATACATGTAAGTAGAGCCCTGCCCGCTCTACTATTGCTCTGGCCCCTGGGCTCCCTTTTCATGCCAACCCTCAGTGGGTAGAATGGGAGGTGCAGCTGCTCCCTCTGCTCTGTGCTTATACTTCTGTCAAGGTTGACTGGGGCTGAGAGCTGGATTGTACCTCCCAGTGCTGTGCTGTGCTGTGCTGTGCTGTGTGTGATCCTGATCCCCAAGGTCATGCCTGCCCCTCCTACACACTCTGGCCCTCACAGCTTTCCGGGTTTAGACTGTCTGGCCTCACATCACAGTGGGCTTGGGTCCCACCCACACAGGTCCAAGTTCAGGTGTTGTAGGTGAAAGCAGTATCTCTCCGTCCTCTGTCTCCTTGCCTGTCTGGTTTCTCTGTGACCACGGTTAATTGTCTTATCTCCAGCATAGGTGTGAGGTCTGTGAGCACAAGTTGGCATTTTTGAATGAGTGCGCCCCCTGTAGACCTGTGGCTTCCTTCCACAGTGGCCCATGGTCTGGAACAGAGAGTTCTCATCCCGAGCATCTCCTCATATCTTCCGAGGAGTAGTCAAGTGCAGCTGTGCCCACTTCCTAACATCTTCAGGCCAGTTCTGGGTGCTGGGTGGACACTCAGTGCTGCTCCAGGCACTTAAACCCTGCGGAAATACTCGGTTGTGTGTGCAGATCTTGAGCTCTGCCTACCACAGCACCAAGGTTGATGCCACGCAAGGCAACTCAGCAGCTGGGACTACAGGGAAGCTGGACCTCTGCTTCCACCAGAACATGTACTCAGACATCAGCTCTTCTCTCCTCTTCCTGACTTTTTTCCTCTTTGGGAAGGTTCTCTAATTGCACCAGTCTGGTGCATTTTTATCTGCCAGTCATTGACCAGAACAGGCACATGTGTGGATTTATCTTCTTTTGCCTTTCTTTGTAGTGTAATGTCGTTGGCCCCTCCCTCACGTATGTGGCTTTAAGTCTGGAGGGGTTGAAGTGTTGCTGGCAGGGCACATTAGAGCAGAGGTTGAGGTGACAGTGGGCAGTTGGCCTTCCAAGACAGCATTTTTCTGGCAGAGTGCACTGGGTGTGAGAGCCACCTGGTGTAGAATTGGCAGGAGTCACTGAACAGAGTGGAACCAAGGTGGTGGCTCTGGGCCTCATGGGCCTGGCAAGGCTTTGGCATCTCTGATTCTTCAAAGGAGGCTACACCTGGAAGCACTCTGCTTAGCTGCCTGTTGTCATGTGACCCCTGAGAGTTCTGTAGGATCTTCTGGTGGGCTG